AAGTACTTATCTATTGCTGATTGAGCACTGTGTTTCACCAGTTCTGTATGCCCGAGTAAACTCTCTGCCTCTGGGTCTCTCTCGATGTGGAAAACACCTCCTGAGCACCACTTCTTGTGTCACTGCACGAGTGAGCCAAACCGGCCTGAAGGGCGCCGGCTTCCACCAGGTCAGGTCTGGCAACTCCTCGCTACTTCCAAACCATCCTTTGCCTCCCCCCTGCCATTCAGTCCAAGTCCTCAACTTTGACTTTGATGTTCAGGGCTCCTAGATTGTCATATAAAATCGATTCACTTGTTTTTTCAGGTCTTTGTTGTAAGAGGGACCACAGGAAGTGTCCAACTACTCTGCCAGCTTGGCCCTACCTCCTGAATTTCTTAAATACCTATAATTTATTTCTTGTTTATCAGCTGGTTCTTCTCTATTCCCTAGTACTTAGCACATAGTAGGTGCCCTATACATGTTAAATGAGTAAATCTGCTATGGACACATGAATAAAGCCTGCGTTAGAATGACCTGTTTATTGGGGCATAAATGTAGCTCAATTTTATAGAACTTGGGGATTTTTGTGGTTGAAATAAAACAGGAGGGTGGAAATACACCACTGCAAGAATATAGAATGCTTTAACTATTTAAACAAGCAAATATCTATTTAGAGTCTGGTATTTGCTCATTTTTTTTTTTTTAAATAATTTATTGCATTTATTTTTGTTGTTGAAAATATACACAGCAAGACACACTAGTTCAGCAGTTTCTACATGTACAATTCGGTGACAGTGATTACATTCTTCAAGTTATGCAGCCATTCTCACCCTCCTTTTTTGAGTTGCTCTTCCTCCATTAACGTAAACTCACTGCTCCTTAAGATTCCTATCTAATCTTTCGAGTTGCTCTTGTCAGTTTGATCCCATATATATAGATCTTAAAAAAGCATAATGCTCAAGGCAGACATTCTTTACTAGTTAAGCTAAGCTATTGTTTGGTTTTAAGAAATCATCATGGGATATTTTTTGTTTAAGATTTAAAGATTATCTCAGGGCAATAGTTTCAGGGGTTCAGTCAGCCTTCATGGCTCCAGGAAGTCTGGAGTTCATGAAAATTTGAAATTCTGTTCTTCATTTTCCCCCTTTTTATCAAGATTCTTCTACAGAACCTTTGATCAACATGTTAGTAATGATAGCTGGGCAACATCCAGTTCATCTGGTCTCTTGGCAAAGGAGGCAGGTTGTTCATGGAAACAATTAGCCACACATTCCATTTCCTGTTCTTATTCCTGATTCTCCTTCTTCCTCTGTTGCTCCAGGTGAATAGAGACCAATTGTTGTGGCTTGGATGACCACTTACAAGCTTTTAAGACCCCATGCATGATGCAGCAAACTAGGACGTATAACAGAGCCACTGAACACATTGTTAGGCCAATTAACTGGGATGTCCCATGAAACCATGACCCTGAATTTCCGAACCAAGAAACCAAATCCCATGAGGTTTTTGGTTGTACATAAGCAATCTGGGCATATATCTATCTATCTCACAACTTTTGCCAGTTCAACTTTTTACAGGTGTACAATTTATTGTGCTACCTTACCCTTAATCAATGTGATTTTTCCATCAGCTAGGTACTGTTTTGAGCTGGTACTATAGTGTTGTGCAAAGCAGGCAAAGTTTTCCTCATGGAGCCTTTGTGAAACTCATTATTTAGTTGCATTTTATAGTTGAGGAAATTGAGATAAGAGAAGGATAAATTTCCCAAGGTCATCTACTGAGTTGTTTGTGGCTTTCCATTTGTAGATCATTGCCTACTGCCACTGAGCCATGAAACAGGTTTTGTGTAATAAGGTAGTTATTTTTGTCCCTTTGCTGGTTAACTTTAACAAATGAAAAGGAGATTATGCATTGTAATACTCCTGGTGGTTGTTGTTTCTAACAAAATAACAATAACTCAGCTTCCCAGTTACACTCATTTCATAGTTACTTATCATCCTTGGTTAATATCTACAAATGGTACTGAGCCTGCCATACATACAACTCTAAATTGTAGAAATCTCAGAATCAGGCACAGACATAATAGATTTTGGTTATAGGAGAGGCCAGGAGAGGCGGGAGGGAGGACTGGAGCATGTGAAAGAAACATGACAATTCATCAAACCCTTTCTTGCTAACAGCAACTAGTGAAATGGGGGGAAATGATGTTTTTCTTGTAAAATTGTGAAACTATTTGGGAAACATTAGGGAACAAAACTTGTGCCCTTAAAAACTGATTTAGTTGCAGAAGTTGACAAATTTTAAGAAGCACCCAGTTTCTTATTTTGTGCAGAATAGGAATTATGTAGTAAGAGGCAACAACCAACTATAAAAGAAATAAATTACATCGACTCTTGCCCTCAAGTCTGTTAGAAACTGAGGTGACACATATGCAAGAAATCTGTTTCATAAAAGTATTTAAATAATAATTAAAATGATAAAATTGGAAATAACCCAAATGCCCACCCTCAGGAAAATGGATCAGCAAATTGTTTATTCACACAATGGAATATCACGTTATAATACAGCAGCCAAAAAGTGATGACTCTTAGAAAACATGATGCTGAGTGAAATTAGGCATATAAGCCCTTTCTATTAAGTGAAAAAACAACAGAAACTAAATATAGTATTTAGGCATCCATATATTGGTAATAAAATCTTAAAAATAATGATTTACACAGAATTCTGAAGTGGTTGTCTTAGAAGGGAAGGCAGGAGTTCAGAAGGGGGAAGGAACACATAAAGAATTTTAAATTGTTTGTCTAGTTCTCCATTTGTGCAGTGGTTTCATGGATTTTGATTATATTCTTAAAAAATTAATCAAGTACAATGAAGCTTGCTATTTAAGGAAATTCTATAATGTCATTTTAGAAAATGAGTACCCGCCTCATTTATCTTTTCCTACTCTGAATGGATCAAGTGTTCTTAATATGTACAAATGAGTAAGTAAATGTGAAGGGGAACTCCGTGAAAAGTTTTTTGTTTTTTTTTTTTTTTCTTTTTTCAGCTCTCTCTGCAGAGTGCTAATAGAGTGAACCAAATGTCAAGTACCTTTCATGATGGTGAGGAAGAATTTGGTTTACCCTTTGCAAGCACATAGCAGGAAAAATCCATGCTGGGTTCTTAGTTTCTCAGATGCAGTTGAGAGGAGCACTAAACAGAAAATGCTCACTTATTAAAACCTGAGCTAAATATTTAAGTCAAGGCAGCTAAGTGAGAGATGTGGTTTGTGAAGCATTAAAATGTAAAGTATGAGGAATAAAAAAATTTCCTTTTCGTTAGATGTCAAATCTGTTAATACTCGTTTAGGAAATTTCTTGCGGGCAGTTCCTATGTTACTTGTTTTTGTTTTGTTTTATTTTATGTTCTCTGAGTAAAGTTTTATTTTGGGGGAGGACTTGGGATGAAGTGCTGAAGCTTTGGAGTGTAGAAGAAAACAGATTTTGGGTGCATCTAGACAGAAGCAGCTTAGTTAGAATCCCAGATCTGCCACTTTCTACTTGTGTGATCCTGGGTTACTTCACTGAACCTTGGTTTCCTTGCATGTGAAGAGTGCATACGTGGATAACAGTATCTGCTTACAGGGTTCTTGTCAGGGTTTGATATGGTATTTCTAAAGTGCCTGTTGAATAGAAATTCAGTGAATGATAGCTGCCTTAAGTAAGTAGTGGAGCCCTGGTGGCGCAGTGGTTAAGAGCTGCAGTGAGCTACAGCTGCTAACCAAAAGGTTGGCAATTCAAATCCACCAGCTGCTCCTTGGAAACCCTATGGAGCAGTTCTACTCTGTCCAATAGGGTTGCTATGAGTCGGAATCAACGGCGACGGGTTTGGGGTTTTTTTTTTTTGTTTTTTTTTTTTTGGTAACTTAAGTAGTAATTTTTGCATGTTGTTAACAGGGACATTGGACATGCAAATCAATCTTTGTCTTATAATAGTAGCAACTCAGTACAAATTTACTTTAAGAGAAACGTAACTTCTAACTTTTGCATTGTGAGTCTCATTTGCTTTGAAATGACCAAACAGTGAAAAATTTGGGTTGTTTAAGCAGGTAGAACATAATACTGTTCAGATCACATCTTGGATTTGAATTTCACATAGGCTTATTAATTCTGTTTTATGGCTACAGACTGCACCTCAGCAGTTCTCATAACCATCTTACAAGTAGTTGCCATTATTCTCAACTGGAATCAGATGAGAAAATAGTTCAATACAGCTTATAATTAGTGTATATGAGAAAAAAACTGAAGATTTGTATGTCTTACTAATGACTTAATATTATCTTTGTATTCTAAGCTAATACATTTACTTACTAAAGACCAATATGTAAAAAAATACTAAGCAATATTTAGTATTTTTATTAATCTTATACAAATAATGCTTGTTTTCATAGTAAATCCATTGCTTACAATGAGTAACTGCTCTTATTTAAGATTCAAGGGTATTTACCTGCAGAACAGGTATGACTTAGATAGTGGAAGTACAGGTTTTCTTACCCACCCATAATTCTTATTTTTGAAATGACTGCTAACACCTCCTCAGACTGACAGATGTGGAAAACTCCACGGTAACCAGTGAAGGCATGTTTTTTTCTGCCCCTGCCAAAAGCTTTAGTTGTTTTGAGATTCCCTCCCCGTGTCTTCTACCTGGAGCCCTGGTGCCACAGTGGGTAAGAGCTCACCTGCTAACCAAAAGGTCAACAGTTTAACTCCTTGTAAACCCTATGGGGCAGTTCTACTCTGTTTTATAGGGTTGCTATGAGTCAGAATCGACTCTATGACTCTACAGCAACAGATTTCGTTTGGTTTGTCTTCTACCTGGAGAGAAAGGGGCTGTATATGACCTTTGGAAGGAATGTTTCTCTGCTCATTAACCTAGATGTTCTTGTTATGCTGGTATGTTGTAATCAGTCCAGATCTCCTGTTCAGGGTTATTGTTGCTATCAAGCCAGCTCTGACTCATGGCAACCTTATGATTAACAGAAGGAAAACGTTGCCTGGTCCCACGCCATCTTCATGATCAGGTATGTTTGGGTCTGTTGTTTCAGGTATTATTCAGAGTTAGCAAATGCTTATTGGTTGGTGGAAAGATTGTCATGGTTTGTGACAAGGCAATCACAGAGCATTCATATTTATTCATTGTTCTGTATTTTAAGAATGAGTCCGTGACCTGGAGCCTTTATATCACAACCACAGATAGCCAGAGCTGTTAGGAGTTGTGGTTCTAGGAACTCTTCAATGTTAAGTTTAGTTTAAAGGTTTTTAATGACTGCGTACGGAGCCCTAGTGGTGTAGTGATTAAGCACTCAGCTGCTAACTAAAAGGTTGGCAGTTTGAGCCCACCAGCTGCTCCTTGGGAGAAAGATGTGATAAAGATTACAGCCTTGGAAACCCTATGGGGGCAGTTCTACTCTGTCCTCTGGGGTTGCTATGAGTCAGAATCCACTGAATGGCAATGGGTTCGTAATAACTGCTTGGTATGTTTTGAAGTATTGCATGGCTTAATATGAAACTATAAACTATTCAAGTTTTAATGTGTAAGATGTGAAATATGTGTGACCAGAAAGGAGTTGAACTGAATTAAATGTAAAATGCTTGTTCATCACTTGACAATGTAAACTGTGCCTCCTTGAAAATGTGGTCCTATCTTCCTCATTGTGCAAGCCAGTGCCTTGGATTACTAGTTAACATGTGGAAGGCTCTCAGTAAATGAATGATTGAATGAATACATGAATAGCTCTGAGTCCAAATGTAGGCTAATGTTGGGAGAGCTTGAGATAGAAATAAATAAACTTGATGTATTTTATTTTCCTTAGTAACTTGCCACTTTTCCTCCTGGTTATAAATAAGCATATATGTATGCACATTCTTACATTGTACCAGCTAACCCTCTCTCTAACAATATGAAAATGCCTGTTTACCTACAGAACTTGGTTCTTGGCATTTTTGCTTTGAGCTTAATCACAAATTAGGGTAAAGTAATTTTTGAATTGTTAATAATGGTCAAAGGGAATTTTTTTCTTTTAATTTTCAGAATAAGATAAATCAGGGTATCCCTCTGATAAGAAATCTTAGAATGGAATAACTAGTCTTGCAATAAGTATCTTGAAGTTGTATGTTTGCCTTAAAACCAGAGCCCTTAGAAAACACACTCATCTTCAGTTGTCTAACACATTAAAAAAAAAAAAAATCCTTATAACCCTTATCTCATTATTGTGTAGCTCAGAAAGCAAGTATCTTCCCTTTTGCTACCAAGGTATAAATGTCTCATTGGATAATATAGATAATGTGTTGGTTTATTTGTTTAAGAGAATATCATAATACGTCCTCAAGATGTTCCAGGGTGGGAAATATTTTATAATATAACATGGTTTTATTTTCAGATTAGAAACATAATGCATACTTAATACAGAAACTTGATAAATATAGTAAAACTAAAAAAGGGAGAAGTTGCCACTAATCAGGAAGGATTTTATTTTTTTAACTTCAGGTTTTTTCTTTCACTTCTGTCAGGTCTAAAAAGTAAGTTTCTGAACTATAGGGAAGGAAATTATACATACTTGAAAGTAAAATATTTAAATTGAAAATCTGTCTTAGTTTTTCTTAAAATACCACTTCAGCAGAGTAAAGAATTTTAGTAGCTGTCTTAGTTATCTGGTGCTGCTATCACAGAAATACTGCAACTGGATAGCTTTAACAAATAGAAATTTATTCTCTCACACTTTAGGAGGCTAGAAGTCCAGATTCAGGGCACTGGCTCTAGGGGAAGGCGTCCTCTTTCTGTTAGCTCTGGGGGAAGGCCCCTGTTTCTTCAGCTTCTGTTTTCCTGGTTCTTCAGAGATCTCCATGTGGCTTGGCATCAGTCTCCCCCCATCTCTGCTGCTCACTTGCTTATTTAATCTATTTTATATCTTAGAAGAGATTGAGTCAAGATACACCCTAATCTTGCCTCATTAACATAACAAATATAACCGAATCCTCAATATCATAACCTAATCCTGCCTCATTAACATAACAAACACAACTTGTTCACAAATGGGATTATAACCACAGGCAGAGGTTAGGATTTACCGCACATATTTTGGGGAGACACAATTCAATCCATAGCAGTAGCTATGTAGGTAAAAATAATAAAGGTGAATTAAGTGCTGATAAAATAATCTGCCTCTTTTACCATTTTTGCTATTATTCCAATATTAATTTTCTTCCTGTTACTCAGCTCTTCTATCCCAAAGTGAGGGAATTGATGAGGATATGTGCATTGTGTGATGTCTGATCGCAGTTTGACTAGCACAGTCTGGAAGTAGGTTGTGCAGGATGAGAGAGCGCAGCCTAATTGCTCTCCCTGCATCAGCAGCATCTATAAAGCATCCTGGGAATTGCTCGCCCTACGTTCAGAGCAGCTGGTCACATGAGCCTGGATTTTCAGTTCAGTTCATTAGTCAGCCATTTTGGTCAACACCCTGCTTACTGCGCACAACCAATCCTATTAGAACTCAGCATCCCGGCTTATCTGAGCAGATCCTGGAAGTGATTTCTGCAGTTCAGGAATTTTTTAAAGCTAAATTGAAAATTTAGGTTTATTTTCCATTTGCTTTTTTTCTTTTGTATTTTTTTCTGCACAAAGAAGGAGGATTTTTCACATGCAGAAGCCAGTTTTCTGAAGCCAGCTAAGGCAGCATCGGCTGTGCAGGATTTAAAGCCTGTAGCTCAGCTGAATAAGAGGGTAGGGAAGAGAAGATAAAAGGAGAGGAAGCTGGGAGAAGACAAGCATCATTTTATTTTGCTGTGTGGTAGGAACTGTATATGAGAAAAGAGAGTATAGAATTGTTTATTTTGACCAGTTGGTTCTTAAACCAAAAGATTTTTTGTTTGCTTGTTTTTTGTTCAAACCTCCCCCATCTCTTTTCCTAAAAGCTTTGTTTCAGAGCTTTGGGCTTGGGATTTTTTGGTGAGGAGGTTTTATTTATTTCTGTGGGGGGTGTGTGTGTGTTTGTGGTGTGTGTGTTGTGGTGCCAGCTGAGTCATCATGTCTGCTCTGACGCCTCCAACGGATATGCCAACCCCCACCACTGACAAGATCACACAGGCTGCCATGGAGACCATCTACCTTTGCAAATTCCGAGTGTCCATGGATGGAGAATGGCTCTGCCTGCGAGAGCTGGATGACATCTCACTTACACCTGACCCAGAACCTACCCATGAAGGTATGGTCAGATCCCGTCTGCTGGGATCTCACAGCATCCTCATTGTTACAGGGAGGCTAGGAGGGTCAGGGAAACGTAGGAAGAACCTATAAAACTATTAACGTGCCTAAAAACCTTTCATCCCTAACTACCAGCCAGCTCCCCCTCTCTCACTTCCTGGGAAAAAAATTTTTTTTTTCCGTGCCCCCTGACATAGCCTTTCAAAAGATGCTGGTGCTTAATCAGAGCTCTTTGTCTTTAAGCCTCTAAAGAGAACAGTGGAGGTCACTTATCACATCTGATCCTAATCGCTGTTGAAAAAGCTACTAATTTTGCTCATATATTAAAATTTTGTACAAATTGTAGTGAATCTTAACAGTAAGTAAGCATGACTATGATTCTAGGATTATACATGATAAATACAGTAGAAATGCTAAAGAGGTGTCCTGTCATCAAGATTAATATTAAATTGGCTATAACTTCTAGAAAATGTATGGTAAAACATTATTTTTTTAAAAATTAATATGGACTGTTAGGTTAACTGAGAAAGCAGTTTTACATCCAGTTCTTATTTAATGAATATGAAATCCAACAAAAGCGTAATGTCTTGAAAAGGGTTAAACCTGACTGATATGGTAATCCTTATCCTTGGCCGTTGCTTTTTATAAGTTACTTGTGGTGACTATTATGGCCCATTTGACATTTCCACTATTGGTACTTTTGAGGCCTTTGTGGTAGGACTTTTCCCCAGAACCTTCTGAAATTAAGAGGGATTTTAAACTTCTGCCCCTTAATTCTCTTCACTCAATACTATAGGAAGAGTTTATTTGAATCATATCTGCAAATTGTTTTGTTTAATATAATATGGTGGCTTTTTGCTAGTGTTTATTCTCCACCCTTAAAATAATGAAGACAGAAATGTCCAGATATGAGGAGAAATTCTTTATAAACATCTGCCTGATGTTTAGGCATGTCTGTAAGGCAGAGGGCCCTAAGCTGCTGGGTCAGGAAAAGTGGTTTTTTTTGCCCTTGACCTTGTGTTGCAATCTTATCATGACTCAGATTTCACCCTTTGTGTCTGTTAAGGATTTTATTTTCCCAGTCATACTTAACCTTGAGAAAGTTTTAGAGAGGGTTAACATCACAGAACCCAAAGCATTAGTTTGGGGTGTGTCTTGAGGACAGTGTTTAAGTAGTTTTTAAGACCTTTTGAACCTTTTAATAATTGGTTTGTCAGTTGGACAACTTCTTTCACAGTAAGTTTCAGAATGTGCCAAAGGGTCAGAAGATATCAGCTGAAATTCCATACAAAACCAGTATTGTTTACTACACTCCCCAAAGCTTTAAGAATCATCAGGGAAGAAAAATACATTTTTGGAACGCTACCAAGATGTGTTTAGCAAATGCCTCAGTTTGCATATTTTGCTAAAAAAAAATAAAAAAACCCTGTCCATTTTGAAAGTCATACAATGTGAAATATTCTCTTAATCCAGTTTGTTGGTGTCTCAAAAATAATTTTAAATAATTTTTAGTACCTTGGATACTCGTCTGTTTTTTGAGCAAGATTCCTATGGGTAAGCAAAAGTGAGCTCTCTGGCTCACGTAAGCATTTGCAGCAGTGCTGTTTGAATTCTTCAGCAGATTTCTCAGTAATATGGAAAATCTATGAGGGCTGCAACCTGAGGTGTGACACATCCTTTGCTTAAAGAAAACAGACAAATAGGAAATTTCCAGGACTTTGGAATCCACTATAAGAAGATGTGGAGAAAAATAGAGAAATGCTAACAGTGAATTTGGAATTTTGCCTTAAATTGACAAGAGAAGTGATTGTTTCACGTGATTAGAAGTGGAAATTAAAAAAAATAAAGAATAAAAAAATCACAGGCCCAGGAAAGCATGTATAGGGATAGTGATCTAGGAAACCAGATGGAGTTTTACATGGATTTTATTACCTTGCCCTACTGTCTAACTATGAATGTCTAAACAGTCATTTGGACTCAAGAAATGTGCATTTTCAGGTTAATACCAGTGACAATTGTTAGACTTAGTTTAGCTATAAGTACTTAAGTTGTGGTCACCAGGCCAGTGATGATGTGAATCTCAGCTTGTTGACCTAATGGAGAACCTAAACACATAGGAAGATTCACAGAATACTTCTTGGCTGATCCTAGAGGGAAAGACATCTGACCACACAAATCGTGCAGTGAGGCCCTGACTCCCACAGGAGAACGTGGGCAAAAAGCGTAAGATGATGATACAGACTGACAGCGTGTGCTCTCAGCAGTAGAAGCTTTGTGGTTTCCAAGTTTTGTTTTCTGAAAACAAAGTTCCTGCTCTTCACTGAGCAGCACACAGTGGAGACCTAGACCTGGAGTTTCTGCTTAGCTTCACTCTTATATAGAAATAAAAACATTCACTTAATTATCTGAATGCTTATTGATGGTCAGTGAGGTAATCTTTTAAAAAAAAAAATACACTTTTTCTTAAACTAGCATGTGCAAAACTACAACTTTTGTTGTAAGTAGATTTTCCCTAAAGACAAGAGTCTAGGATTCTGAAGCAGAGTGGTCAGCAAAGGCTTCATTGAGTAAGGGAGGCTTGCACTGGACCTTGAGAGATAACTAGGTGATCATGTGGCAGAAATGGGGGAGGGCATTTCAAACAGTGCGCAGGGAACAGCAGACAGCTAGAAGGACCATAGCATCCTGTGGTTGGCACAACGGGGCGCACGCCTGGAAAGATAAGTAGGGCCTCGATTGTGACAGGCTTCCTGTGACATACAGAGAAGGCTGGACTTGATTCTTATGCCTAGGAGTAACATGAACCAAGATTTTTATTGTGGGCTGATCACTCTGGCAGCAGTGTAGAGGATGGATCAGAAGGGTATAAGCCCTTCAGGGACCCTTACCAATACTATTAAAATGGTCCTAGTAAGAGATAATAATCCCAAACTATAAAGCAGTGTGAGTGAAGAGAGAACAAAAGGAACAGTTGTCTGAGAAATAGAATGTACCGGATGCCAGGTGGCTGTGGGGCTAGAGGATGAAGGTGAGGAGGCAGCTAGGATGACTCCCAGCTCTCTGGATTCCAGTCCTGGGTTCCACTCACCAAGAAGGAATACAGAAAGAAGAGTGGGTTTGAGAGGTTGGGTCCCTGATAGTAACAGATTATGATTTAACTACAGGAACAGTATCACTTTATCAAATTAGCCTTCCACATAACCCCACAGAAGCATAAGTCAGGTTTTCTCTTTTCCAGATTATATACCCTGGGCTTAGTCTGTACCCCAACTTCCATTAGGAATTGGAATCCTCACATTTAGTTGAAGGGTTCTGGTGAGTAAGATTTAAATGGACATTCTGATTTGAGAATATGACTCTTTCTTTTTGTCATGTCAGCACTAGAGGACCAGCTTTGTTTATATACAGTTCATTTTTCATTTTCCTGATGCATGGAAATGACCTCTCAGATTCTGAGTCCATTTTGCTTATTTTTAGTTTCTGAGAGCATAGTGAAATTTTAAGGTAAAAGAACTTCTAAACCCTAAAACATCATGAAATATTTAGAGAATATAGGTCAGTTTTTTCTCAAGAATGGAAATGAAACGCCTCAGTTAGACTTTTAAGCATCATTGTAGTAATTTCAGAATGATTCTATTACTGAGGTGATTTATATTTATGATTTTTTAAAAACATTCTGTGTTTATTTGTTATAATTAGCAATTTCTGTGTTGATTAAAAAAATTGGCACTTTAAGAAAATCTTTAAAGAATGAAGTCCTGAGCCTTTCAAGGTTTGTCTCCTATGTCATTAAATCTGAATTAGCTTAAAAGACAGCAGTAGTTGTATTTCAAAAGAGAAAATAGCATTTTGTATATACAGTGAAACCTGTGGGAGCCTGAACTCACCGAGACTGCCTCGTTTTTCTGGGCCTCGCAAGTTTTCCACCTTTGACAGGGTGCAGTCTTACAAATTTTCTATCACTCATTTTAGTAGACAATATTTTAGTTTTTGTTCTCTGACAGCTTTCCACTTTACACAGGTTCTGGCTTTCACAGGTTTTACTGTATTACCTTTACTCAGTAGAGTGTTTTGTAGACAGACTTTTGCGTAGGATTTAGCTCTAAGTCAGATTGCTCACTTTTTCTTAAACTAAATATCCCATTTGTTAGTTCATTTTTCCCTTTTTTCCCACATCTCTACACTCCTTTATCATTTTTGGAATATTTATATGGCTTGAATGACAGGCAAGTTAAAAATTATTTAAAGTAATTCTTTTTTCTTACGTGTTTATTAAAATGGGCCTCAGTTGAATTTTTTTTTAATTTTTTTATTTTTTCCCATAGAAAAATTTATAATACATTGTTATGTGACTCTGATTGCTCTTCCCGTACTGTGACAGCACACTCCTCCTTTCCACCCCTGATTCCACATGTCCATTCAACCACCTTCTAACCCTCTCTGCCTTCCCGTCTTACATCCAGACAGAAGCTGCCCATTTAGTCTCTTCTATCTACTTGAGCTAAGAGGCACACTCCTCACGAGTATCACTTTATGTCCTACAGTCCAGTCCAATCCCTGTCTGGAGTTGGCCTTGGAAATTGTTTTAATTCTGGGCCAATAGAGAATCCAGGGGCCATGCTTTCCGGGGTTCATCCAGTCTCAGTTAGACCATTAAGTCTGTTCTTCTTACTAGAATTTGAGTTCTGCACCCCACCTTTTTCCTGCTCCATCAGGGACTCTTTGTTGTGTTCCCTGTCAGGGGGGTCATTGGTGGTAGCCAGGCACCATCTAGTTCTTCTGGTCTCAGGCTGATGATGTCTCTGGTTTATGTCGTCCTTTCTGTCCCTTGGGCTAATACTTTCCTTGTGTCTTTGGTGTTCTTCATTCTCCTTTATTCCAGGTGGTTGGGACCAATTGATGCATCTTAGA